ACACCATCATCATTATTTGCCTAAATTTATTCATAAAAATGAAAATTATTTTCGATTAAAGAATTAATATCAACCTTTTCCATAACTTCTTGTTCAGCCTGAAAAAGAAAGAATATAATTCGAAATAAATCAAAGAAAACTTTTGCTCATAACTTACACTTTTTTCTAATAATAATGATGTAAATTGTTTTGCAACAACATCATTTATATGTTTAAGAACACCATGAATACGCCCATAAGCTTGATGTGAACTCCATTTATGTTCAACAAATAAACGATCAATTTTATTAAAAACAAGAATAATACGTAGATGTTCAAGCCAAGCTTGTCGAAGAGTTGCTAAAGTCTATATAAAATCAATTTTATGTAACAATATATCTATATATTGAATTTAGTTTTATTTACTTGGGAACGAAGTCCTTCGACAACATCGACAAGAATTATTGCACCATCACAAAGTTGAACTACAGTAGAAATTTCCGATGAAAAATCTACATGTCCCGGAGTATCAATAAGATTGATTAAATATTTTTTATTATCTGAATAAATTAAAATTAAATATTCTTTTGTAAATTTAATAATAAATTAAACAAGCCTTTTTGATGAACAAGTGAAACAGCACTAGATTTCATTGTAATGCCTCGATTTTGTTCCACTTCTAGACTATCCATTAAACGAAGCTATATCAAACAATAATCACAACATTAATATCTTTTTTTTGATAAGAATTTTTTTTTTACTTACCTTACCGGTCAAACGTGTCGAAATAATTCCATTTGAAGCAAGTAAATCATCAGCTAATGTTGTTTTACCATGATGAACATGAACAACTTCGACAAACGTTATATTGCCGAAGTTACAACTTCGGCAAAGAGTGTAACTTCGGCACGACATATATATGATTCAATTTACACTTGTTCTTCAAAATGAAAAAAAAGAAAATAACGCTGATAGAGAAAGTAAAGCAACACAAAAAATCTGTCGAAAAAAAAACAGGAAAATAAGACTAATATAATAATATTGATGTTGCTTGCTTGGTTTTCTTCATTTTCGATAGCATTTTTGTAATGTATCATATCGTTTAATCTTTCGCTGTAATTGTAAAACATCATAGAATAATGCTTCTGCGCTTGGTGGACAACCAGGCACATAAATATCCATTGGTATAATACGATCACATCCGCATATCTATTGAAGAAAAGATTTTTTAAAAAGTTTATTTATAAAATAGATATTCCCTCGACTGGAAGGAGGGTCATACGAAATAAAATGCGTTTGTGATCTTGCTTGATTGGGGTCAAAAAAACATTTATCAGAAGGTTAGCTTATTTAAAGACTTTTGGCCGTTTTGATCGAACTTTGCTATAGGTTATCGATGGCCCTGAATCCGAATCCGAAGCCCATTTTTTTGGCCGCGATTTCATTGGCCAGGAACCGGCCAATCAGAAATGAGTTTTTTTATTTTAAGACTTTCAGCCATTTTGATCAAACTTTGCTATAGGTTATCGATGACCCTGAATCCGAATCTGAAGCCAATTTTTTTGGCCGAGATTTCATTGGCCAGGAACCGGCCAATCAGAAATGAGTTTTTTTATTTTAAGACTTTCAGCCATTTTGATCAAACTTTGCTATAGGTTATCGATGACCCTGAATCCGAATCTGAAGCCAAT